ATTGAAATAATATGTGGGTGAAAATGAGTAAAAGAGTGAGAATGAAAAAAATAATGTGTACCAAACAGGGGCTACGTATGTAAAGAAATTTATTACGAAGAATAAACTTTACTAACCACATTATTCATATCTTGATGAGATTTTGTATTACAAAGTGTTGGTCAAGCCTTATTTTTTTGGCCGAGTTTTTGCTCGGCTCTGCTCGAGCCCAAAAAAGTTTAGACCTATTTTGTTCAAGTCGAGCTCGAGCTTTGAATTTCAGCTTATAGTTCGGCTCAACTCGTTGACATGGCTACATATTTTTCATCATATCACTATTTAAAATATATTATTTTTTCAATAATATTCATCAAACACACCCATAATCTTGTTTTGAATTATGTACTGCTTGATAATAGTGATGTCAAAATGGCTCAGCGACTCGAGGGACCAAGGCTCGACCCGGAAAAAGCCAGGGCGGGTCGGCTCGGTGGCATCGAGCCTGAGCTAGCCTGGGCTCTTCACTGGCCTGTGAGTCGAGTTTTTTTTTTCTTTTTGTATAGTTTAGATGTATTTTTTATATATTAATATTTAATTATTATTTATAATACATATAAATCGTAAAAATTTTAAATACATTATAAAAGACTATAGATTTATAATGAATTAAAAAAAAACACGAGCCGGCTTGACTCGGGCCCAAAAAAGCTCGGACATATTTTGCTCGAACCGAACCGGAACTTTGAGTTTCGGCTCGTGGCTTGGTCTTAACGGAATATGCATCGCAACACTTATAGATTAATTTTTCAACACAAACCCCATGCAACTAAATTTGAATGGAGGAAGGAAATTATTGGTTATAAGACATATATGCAAATTCCGTCGTAATATTCAAGTAAACATCAGACATAAATGATTTTCAAAATTGAGTGCGGAATTGGAAATTTAGGTACAGAAATGTGTAATATTAAAAACATCACAATATGAAATTGGGTAAAAAAAATTGTGCAGAGAGCTTTGCTTACTAATTTTTTTCGAAAAAAAATTATATAAAACATTGATGCTGATAACGTATTATGAAATAACATGAATAAGAAGAATAAGATAAAAAATAGAGTCAGTTTTTCAAGCGTGTTTTATTGAAAACCAATGCCCCAGATTTATAGAACACAAATAAGAGTTACAATTGAAATGAAATATATCTTCTAAACTAGATAAAACTTATCTATATATCATGATAATACTAAATAATCATCTCATTATTTTACAACAATTCTAAACTTGTCAAAACCTTTAAAATTTTTAAGTTTAATCAAGTATCGATATTTTCCATT